TCTTGAACATCTTCGGACTTGGCAATGTTTGTCAACAATGCTTCTTCTTCCATGATGAGAGTGCCAGGGGGGATGTTGTCAACGGAGGTGACAGCTCCCCTCTCCTTGTTGTTGATTTCTTCTACTCGGATATATTCGCCAATGTTGTACGGCAGCGCTGGCCTCTCGATGGTTGCATAGTTCAGTTTGGGATCAGAAGGGTCCTTTGCAGTTGTATCGGTGGCATTTAGGCCTGCTTTGGCTGCCAAGTCGGTCAGATCACGCTAGTCTCTCAGAATCTAAACACATACCGGGTGCTTTCACTTTGCGTGGCGGATTGATGTTTGCGCCAACTAATGCATCTACCATACCCTTCTTGAGATCCCTTCCAGGAGGGTTATATGGTATGCCATTGTTCGCCAAGATAGTTCGCAGCTCAGGGTTCGTTCTTGTCAGATATTCCTTCCTTTAAGATGCTGTAGTCCAAGTACCGACGGTTGGTGCAGCGTTTGCCGCCTTTTTTCGAGCCATCGTCTATGGAATTTGTTCTTCCAGTTTCAGCGAGACAAACAATTCGAGCCCAAAAGGCCATCTCAAGAAGTAATGTCGCATACCTGACCGGAAAAGTAACAAAGACTTTTTAGGTTCGAGGAATGCGATCCACGAATGTCTCGCGCACACGCTTTCGTCAAAAGGAAAAGAAAAACTGGTGTGGGATCTTAACACTTCCTCTTGCTGAACGTGCGATATCTCCTGTAGGCTGTTACAATAATATCGTTCAAGATTAATGACGGTCGCAGTTCTATTCGCCATGAGTTTTGAGGTCACTCCGATCTTAGTACCATATTTGCACCTGATACTGCTGCACCAAAGTCCAAAAGAAATTATGTTCTAACCTGTTGTCAAAGGTATTCGTACCAATCCGCTCTCTATGTTGAACGCCGGATGGAGCTCAGAATTACAGACATTTGAACCAAACTAAGTATAATAACACTAATTCAGTGCATTCACCCTTTCTTTTAATCAATATATCATTTGCAGCCGGGAGTCTTTGGCATCTAATTCCTGTTCCAATATGCTTAGTGATACATTTGTGTATCATTCTAGGATCCCGACGATAGCCTGTGCAGTTTTCAAAAACCATGAGCAGTAAGCAAAAATGCTGTAGGCATCCAGAATCATTGGTACGATGAAACTCGAGGATCCTGTCCAACAGGAACCAATATGAGATGAGTCATCATCTTTGTGCCCCCCTGGACATTGGTACTTCTTAATGATTCACTAAACACTGTCGCTTCGGATCTCGCCTTACTTGCTGCAAAAGTGCCTCGTCGTTCACAGGATCCGAACCAACATCTTCTCCATCAGTTTCTGGCACGGATGATAAGCTCTCCGTGTCGTCTTCATGCTCTCCAGCATGGCTTTCATGCTGCATCTGTCTATCTTCGTTCTTCGCCTCGTCCAGCTCTTCTTCTTCTGTTGTAGCTCCCCTCTTTCGGCTCCTAGTCCAAGATTTTGCGATATCGTTCTGTCCTCGTGTACTTGCTAAGTCCGTTGCTTGTTTGGCTTCTTTCGCCCTCCTGTGAACAACTGCCGCTTTCTGACTCTCCCATAAGAGCTCAGTAGCTTTGATAGCATCCTCGTCATAACTATCATCGCCATGATATACGCCAGCAGCGTCTGAAAACTTGCGTGCATGGTACTTCCACATTATCATATAGTGATCCTTGCGGCTCCCATCTTTACATTCGTTTTTATATGCGTCCTTGTAGACCTGTAAAGCCTTCTTGTGGATGTCCTCAATTGCTGCGATTCGGTTTTCTACACGGAGATCTTCAACATAATCGTACATCACTTCTTCCATGGCTTCTAGAGCTGGTAAGGAGTCTTTAACGAGACTGAAGCGCTTAGCGTTCTCTCTGATCCTCTTTTTGCGTTTGGTGGCGTCTGCCCGACTGACAGGTGAACAGAACTCACAACTGCACTCGAACCCCCATCTTCGGGCAACTTCGCTGTGCCTATCGTCCTGGTCCATGAGTGCAGTCACTTCCTCATCAAGGTAGTCGATGGTCAACTCTTGTCCTTTTTGAATATCAACCAGGCTCCGGAGTGTTCCGACCATAACGTTAGCATCTCCCTCCTTTGATTGCCCAATTAAGATGCAATTTGGGCAACAGGAGTAGTTCACCAGTGATATGTTTCCATAGACGTATGTGAATCCGGGCTTACTACCATGTGAATCGTTCCAGGAGTTGAGGTCCATTCTCCTCTTGTAGCTGTTGTCCTTCTCTTTGCCGCCATACGTCAACTGGAGAAAGCGTAGTTTGACGTCGTCGTGCAATCCCCTAACATCACGACTTAGGTCATTCTTGTCATCGTCGAAAAACGACAAGATCGACTCTTCTTGATAGATTGAGGTTCCAGCGGGTATCAATGATGCACACGATATGATACCCTTGCCCTTTCCTTTAATTTCAGCCACCTCAATAAGATCATTGATTCGATGTGGTTCGAGCTCGGGGTAGTTGTCTAATTTGTATCTGTCGGGGCTTTTCCTATGTACCTTTTTGCGTTTGAGAGTCGTACTTATCGGTGTAGAGTTTGTTATTTCGCTGATTTGCACATCAGGACGCCCGCCAACGTAGATGTGGTCTTCATCATCGGAGTCAGGGATCTGCTGAGACAAAACAGCGTTGTTCTCAATCTCTGTATCTTGTGGAGTGGGACCTTCAGACAGGAGACTTAATTCTATTGCGCCAGCTTTGACCTTTTTGGTTTCTGATTGGATGATAGTTTTCGCTACACCCGCTGCTTTGGCTTCTGCTTTAGTTGCAGCTTTAGCTTCTGCTTGCGCTGCATAACAATTAGTTTTATATCATAGATTGTGGGCAGCTATATGCTTTCCTTTCTTCTTTTCTATCTTCGACGTATTAAAAAAGGGAAGAACACCGTTTGCTGCAACAAGATCGGCGAGTTGCTTTTTCGTAACCTCCAGTTTGCCGCGTGGCGGCTTCGGGATCGGGATCCCTCTATCAACCAAGACTTGCTGCAGATCGGCAATATGGTCTTTAAGGAACCATTTAGGAAACATAGATGGCTGCCATAGTCTAGGGTCACTGTCACAGTGATTGAGACCCATTATGATCAGTTCTGAGGTTGATTGTGATGGTGTGCCGGTGAAAAAAGGATTGCGACAATGGAGATTGGAGTTGAATGATTTTTGAGGAATGAGCTAGTGGGACAACGCAAATTCTAGACCCCGAAGAACATTGAGCACACTATCACAGCCAGCTATTACGCTACTAGTGTGAACGTCAAAGATTTCAGGTGGGGGATAAGGCGAGGCGTGTTATTGTTCAATTTTGAGCGAAAGAATGAGGGGGGAGCGAGATGAGACGGAAAGGCGAAAAGTTTCACATCGCTTCAAAGACCCCAGCAATTCAACGGTTATAAAGAAAACTACTCTCCTAATTTCAACCCCTATACATTTCGGTTGTTCGCTTCGGTCTGTGTTCTTTAAGATGAGTTTTTATTCTTTGATCTCTAATCCCCGGTACTCCCTCTTGACTTTTAAACTTCGGACGTAGCTGGCATCATTAAGGACTATAAACTAATTTTAGAGATTCAGAAAAGCTTTATTATATAATCAGCTTCTGGACATATATTAAAGCTTAGTTCTAGAGGCTCTAGCTATACTAAAAGTCTTATAGATATAGTTTCTCTAGCTTTAAACCCTGTAGAGACTATCCGAGTTTCAACTAGCATAAGGAGTATTTTGGTGCTTCGGATACATAATCAGCAATTGACTTCTACCGACTATTCCTATTCACTATATCACTAAGATATCTTGAACCGGTAACATGATATCTGGTGGCGCTACAATCTTGAAATTAGTCCACGTCCGTTTGATATACCTAATAACTTCTATACTTCCTGTTTGTCAACTAGCCAAAAGCCGCAAGTACACGATATACACAGGTTGAAGCTCTCAAAACGATCTGTCAACTCCTAGAATCACGGGACGTATCTAAGTCTCACTTACTTATATTAGGGGAATATATTTTGATTAGAGGTTATAATTTGAGTCTTTGGCACTTACCAATGGCACGAATTCGCAGATTCCTGCAAAGAGGAAAACATGATGATTGTGACCTACAGGCGATGGTGCTCTTTCAGCCACTATTTCTGAACCTGGATATCAAGCTCATACAGAAGGACATTCGCCATATCCAGCGCATTGGTCCCGTAGCACTCTGGAATGCTAAAAGGGGGCTTTGTTCTAAGAAAGGTTCCCTCAATAAGCACAGGCTTTCAAGCTTTCTCCTCGTGTCTTCAATCGTACCGAGCTCTATTTGTTTTCAATTGCGGTCTTTGATTGCGGTCTTTAGTTGCGGTCTTTGGTTGCAGTGTTGGCTTGCGTGAAAATTTTACTGTATTCACCTGACAGTTTCTTATTCTGTATTAGCAGCGTGAACTAGTAGCCATTCAATTAGGGGGGCGGGGGGGAGGGTACGAGACGCTATGCCTTTATCGCTCGTCATTCTCCTCCATCCAAGGCTGTATCATGTGGGTAGAATGTGGTCTTTGAATCAGAAGGGGTGTTTCTGCTGACAGTGATCGATAATATAGGGGTCATAATGGTCCTACCGATGTAAGAGTACCCGTCGTCTCAATCAGAATCTCCTAGTAACGACGTTAGACAAGTGTGCAGACAAGTAAGCCCTTATAGTTGTTCGGCGCACATTCTCTCGTCTGCGTTTGATGGATGTATTGGAACTCCAAAGCCGCGTGGAGATTAATCGCCCGTGCGGGTTCATGCAGAAATACAACGACAAGACTTAGTATGTCCAGTAGAGACACACCTAATACCTAGAAAATCTGAAACCGCCTTCCGAGACGACTCAGAAAAACTGGGCGTACGAATTATCACCAATCTCAATCCGGCGATCTGCACGCACCCACTTACTACTAAAAAGTTTGACATATAAACCTAGAAGAAATTCGTCAAAAAAAAATAAGAATGCCTCCTGACGGAGTCGAACCGTCGACCTTAGCATTATTAGCATTACTAGTCTACATATGATGTTAGTAGGGCCCAAGGTAGGAGGTAATAACTGACTCACGCTACGCTCTACCACTGAGCTAAGAAGGCTGATATGATTGGCCCATTGGGGAAAATATCAAAGATAATACAATTTGTCTAATCCTTTCTTATTGATTGTTCACCCTTTTTGCTATCTATTTATCTCCCCTCTAATTATACAGGGCAAACAGTTGCTCAAATATTGATTGGGAAAATACCGACTAAAAAGATAGCAGTACTGAGCTCTAGTCAGCGGATCTTATCCTGTATTTCATACTTGATACCATATTGAAGTTAATTAAATCGCTTAAATATCAGTAATTAGGGGCTTCCGTGTTTAACAAGGCTGAGATCGATACAGCGTCGACAAGTAGTTATGCTAGCCTTTTGCTTCCTCACCCACGCCACACTATAGTCTACATTATCCTTAAGCAAAAGACGCTCAATCCCTATCTTCCCATATTATCATCGACCTACGCCAACACTAACAAAGTCAGGGTCTGTAATTATGTACTGTACATGTATTGGACTCACGCTGAATGTTAGGGCATAAAGAAGCAGCCAAGGTTCAAATGACTTCCATTTTTCACTTCTTATTGTGTCCTCTCAGCGTAACTCACCATGTATCCTATCCTGCAAATTTTTGCAATAAGAGTTACCTTGGACTAGGCCTCTAACGGATCGTCGAACCTGCCTTTCTTTCGTGGAGGTTTCGTTAGCTGATTATCAGAGATGTCCGGGCGATATTTCCGCGCTTCCTCATTTGTAAGACCGTGAGCTCCTTGTAAATGTTCTCCGGCTTTCCCCATAAGGCATGTTCCGTCTCTTTGGTGTAGCCAGACAATGCACATCGTTGAGGCTGGAAGTCGGGGTCATGCTGCGCGCACACGTGTGATTGGAGTAACGAACGTGAACCCAGCATCAAACCGCATCCATAAGGACATTTCCTCACCTTGAAAGCGTGACAATTGTCGAAGTGGGTCCTGAAAATTGCCAGATTTTTCAACGAGCGGCTGCATTCGGAACAAAGAACGCGTCCATTACCTGAAAAGCAGGGAGCTTCAATGAGGTTGCTTTCAGCGAGATCCAGCAAGATCCAGCAAATCTGTACCAAAACTTGACTTTCTGTCTTTTTTTTTTGCCGATCGATAGGCTAGTAGATGTTGTAACTGAAGCATTTGTCTCCCTCTTAATGAAGAAGTATTCTTTTTCCTCAGGACCTCAGTTCGATTTGTTGACACCAGTCGATTCCACTCTCAATGGCGACCAGAGTGTCTCTATTCTCCTGCCAGACGATTTTACCTTCACGCTTCAGGTCAAAGCCGTCGCTCCTGAAGTGTATCGTCGTACGGCCCTGGCGTTTTCGTGTAGCTCGAGCCAGTGACTCTCCTCCAGGAAATCTCAGTTACTCTTGAGCGTTACGCAATCGGATGGTGATATCTCCTTCCCCTGTGACTAAATCTTCTTCTCCGTTCCAGAATTCTCTTGCCGAGTATTTTGTCGCTGACCTTCGGCTCACACCTCCCCAAATTTCGCAGTCAATACGTTTGAAAGAGATTCGCCTCTGACGAACACGTCCTCTGGCTTCTCTTGAAGATATTTCGTTGCTCGATTGAGGAAAGCGGGTTGGTAAGAGTCAATTTCAAGGACCTTCTGCTCCAACTCACGGTATGCCCAGAGCTCCTGAACGCAATTGTCAGCAGCGAAGATGCTGTGAGACCCCGTTTTGAAATGAAAGCTGGGCTGCAATCTCTGTTGACAAGCCACAGGTAGAAGATCAGGGCGGCATCCTGAGTAGCTGCGAAACTTAGAGCGCCTACGATTGGGAATGAAGCTTTCGTTGAGCGTCCGGCCATCTGTTAGCGAAGCATCGCACATTATCTCGGGAGGCAGTGTCGTCAGCACGAAACTGCCAGACAAAACAATATGCAAACTCGGGGCTATAACCTTTTTGACCGTCTTTGACTTCGCATCCCAAAAGTCTCCAATATCTCCCTCTTTAGAGTGACAATGGAGCATGATCCGCACTTCTATTTTTACTGGACTTGACGGTCTGGTCAGCCTGGTTCGGGATTGTCCAGATCCCTGCATCTCCGCTATGTAAAATTTCTCGGGCTCTTTATCCACTAGCGAGTTGAGTTCTGTTGCTGCTACATCTGGAGGCGTTTGTAAAAACTCGAACAGCAAATGGACCTCCGAGGCAGATAGTTTTGAAGCTGCTTCTCTGGAGAACAGTGCCGCGATATTTTCCGGCCACATCAGTAACACAGCGTGAGACGATTCCCGAATCTAATGGAAAGATCGACCTGAAGATCTCGGTTCGCTCTTCGCGTAAACTCCCTCAGTTTCACCGCTCATATTACAATTATTGCTCGTGTCGTTATCCCCAATGATGTCATGCTCCTCATAATCCGACTTGGTGCTTTGCTTCTCAAAGTCCTCTAGGAACTTGAGGGGCATGGCATGTTTGTTATCCGGCAACTGGCTTGTCCCGATCACTCTGTCGTCCCGCTTCCCAGTAACAGGCGGCGCATCGTAGGCCACGGAACCTGTTTCTGCCGCATTTTGGCTCGCGCGCTTGTCGGTACTTAGTGAGACCGCGGAGTATGCTTGACCCGACGTTATCCAGTACAAAGTCCTCATGATCACCTCGAGGTAATATGTACTCTCGAGCCTGCTGATGTTTAACAGGAAGCGATTAGAGGGATTCTCTATACGGCGATTAGACAACTCCCTCTTATTACAGGACCAGGTAGCCTCCCTTCTTGACTTTTTTCGGACTGTGTTTGAACATGTCAAAACAATGGACAATATTAGTTTGAAGAAAATACTGAACCAGATCGACGATGGTGATTTTCGGCGAAACGATCTCATTAACGAGGTAAAGTGAGCTCTACAATTGCTTTGATTGTAGCCTCTGATTATTCTCGACTAGTTGATGATGGAAGAGACGAGAAACCTAAAAATATCATTTATGTTCATCGGTCGGCTCGCGGGTATATGGTCTGAAATATCCCAAAAGCACCTAATGCCATCAATGAGAGAAATCCGATACATAGGTTTGACGGATGATTCCCGGTCTCCTGAGCAAATTGAGAGTAAGAGACTGCGTATCGAGAACATGAAGACGCAGACTCAAAATGGGGTCAGGCAGATCTTGAATCAGGTGAGTGCCCCTACATCGGATAAAATCACATTCTAAGTAAGAGATGTAGAGACAAAAGGAGCTTCAAGAGGGGCTGGAAGAACTTATTCGTGAGGGTATCATTTCCCTAAAAAAAGTGAGCACTTGATAAAAGCCCGGTTCCAGCAGTATCAGGCTCTGTTGAGCCAGGAACACACACTGGTGACGATAACATTTGTGTGAAGGCGCTAGTATAAATTTCATGGTCTTCTTTTCGCTTCCAGTCTTACGATCCTTGGGCTTCTTGGATGCATTTGAGGCCCCGAACCGTAGAGTTGAAAGCTTGAAATTATTAAGTCTTGTGTGGACGCCGATCTTCGTACAGGCTCTGACTATCCTACTGCATGTCCAAGCCGACCCAAACTGAAGTCGAACTGTAAAATTTCGGTTTTGGCTATGAACTTAGCCTAACGTCCAGTATTGTAACATCTGGGCGGCGCAGATGATTTGGGCACCGAACAAGCACACCGCTCGCCTAAACGAATAGAGGTTGCTGGCCTGAGGACGAGGTCCCCTCATTGACTACCGGTCAAGAATGGTACTGGCGTCAAGGCATGCTGTGAAACCCCAGATGGGGACACCCAGTGCAGATGACCGCGATCGGCCCGTAAAGGTTCAATCTGTCTTGGAGTGTATCTTGGCTACTTAGTTAGGTAGCTAGTTTTGGCTGCTCATCAGCCGAAACATGTATCTTCCGGTGTCCACCACGATATGTTCCTTGGTATCCGTATTGGGCTGTGGTAGTGTAAGGGTTCGAGAAGTTTGACTCTGCGGTGTTGGGCTCGACTGCTTGGGCTTGACTGCTTGGGCGAAAGTGAGGCGAACGCTCCAGCGCTTCAGCTCCTGGTCCTCTTACGTCCCGGGCGTAACTTGTGTCACACCTTGGGCACTGAACCCCCCTCTCAATCCCTATATCCTATTCCAATTGCGCGAGCCCAAGATAACATGCCGCTCACGCACGGTGCAGCATTGGATACCAATTAGCTGGCTCTACCGTCTCAGTCTCACATGCCGCTCTCGCCTCCATTTGCGGCCTTCTCACTGTTGCAAATCCATGTGAACCCCACAGTTGTGAGGCTCAAATTTTGGAATCCCCAAAAGCGTGTATTGGTAAATTACGGGAAGAGGATGTATTGAATCATCTCAAGTTTACCAACAATATCTCAACTCACCAGGAAAGAGACATCTCTCGCCTCCCTCGTCGTACGCCTTGTTTGGTTTTTGAAAACCCACTAGCACTTATATAGCACTAGGAATGCCGAGACAAATACCATTGTAGCAATACTAAACACCGTTGCAGTAAAGCGTATAGACACAAATACAGACGTCACCCTTATCAAACGTTGCACTTCCCTAGCCTGTGAAATACCTCTCTCTGAGTGAAAGCGCTCAGACTGAATCTATCGATATTACATAAGGCCTGTTACTGAAGGTTGTGATGTAAATAAGGGCCTAGTGAAGTGAGAGTAGAGTCAAAGCCTTGAGCGTAGCCGCTCGTGTTAAAAATTATATTTCGGAAGCCTCGTCGTGATTGTGGCTGAGTACACACATTATAAGATTCAGCTCTTGTCCGGTCTCTACTCTGTACGCTATGCTCACGTGGAGACCAATTACAGCAACTTCAATTATATTTCCCATATAACATTCGGGTACAGTATAATTAGGTGGAACTTGATAGTAACAGGAGAGCAATGCGCATTCTTTCCTTCCCTACAAGGTTTTGTTGTCTGCCCCAATCAATTAGCCTCACCCTTCCTTCCTGCAGCAAGGGTAGAGTAGGATTTGCTCTGGAAGCCGGTTATCTGAACATGTGTATCCGAAGTCGGCAAAACATCTCCAGCGTACTCACAATATAAAGTAGGCGCGGACACACTCCATTTTCAAG